GAGGCACTCCCGTGGCGGAGGGAGCCGAACCGGAACTACTAGCGCTGGCCCCGCCCTCGGCCTGGAGCCCGCAGGGGGACCCTGACCATCCTGATAGGATAGACCCACAGCAGGCAGGGAGAAATTGACACCACCACTTCCGGGTCGGCCCCGCAGCTGCCCCTCCTTAGCAACCGCGTGGGGTTGCTAAGCGGAAGTGCCTTCAACGGCACCCACCCCCACTTCTTCTGGGACTACAGGAGGTAGCTTGCGAGTGTTGCGCTCGCGTTTGGCAACATCCTCCTACCTTCTGGTCTCCGTGGTAGACCGAGGACACGCTCTGCTGCCAGAGGCACGGAGCCCGCACCGCTCTCCCGTCAGCTGTGCTGCCGCGCCACCCCCGCCGCTACCTACACCTGCTCCCCGCCCCGCGGCTCCTCCCAAGCCTCCTCTCCCCGGCCCTCGCCCCGTAATTTTCTGTTGGTTTAGCGAGTATCTCCCTCTTGTGGATTCTCATCTGTGTTTCAACCAGATTTTTTAAATCATCAATGTTACGAAAGCTTTTTCTTGCACTTGGTCTCCTGTGACTGACTCTGAAGCCGAATGGTGAAAAAAGTTTTGTCTTCACCTGTGTTTTGTAAGGATTGCCTGTTTGTACAAGATCTGGAGCTAATTGGAAGGGGCAAAAAGGATTCTCTGTAAATCGACCAGAATGATTCTCTTAAAACAGAAAGCAAAGAAAAATGCCCAAGAAAACTGGTAATCAAGATGGAAGGTAGCTAATCCACCACTCAGAATAAACGTCCGTACTAACACCGTGGACAAGACAGGTGTCATAAGAGACCTCACTTATTCTTGTTGGGGGTGATTAGGATTTGAAAATATGGAAAAACGTGGTTAGTGTAAAAGCAATAAAATAATCTTTTTTGATTTTTTAAAGAATTATTTTATTTGTTATTATTTAAATTTGACCGGAGAGAGAAAGTGAGAAACCAAACTGCTGGGTCTGGGACTCCAACCTGTTAGCCATGTGGGGAGTCCAGTGCCTTAACCACTGTGCCACCTGCTGGCCCCAAGAATCCTTTTTTTAATTTTTTTTAATGACCCCTATCATTATAATGGCTAAATGTTCAAAAAAATGCAATCGGGGGACCAGCAGTTAGGGTAATGGCTATATCGTTGTACTCCCATGTAGTCGACCGCAGTTTGAGTCCCAGATCCGATGGCTTAAACTCACGCCCAGGCGTGTGTGCGCCCAAGATCCTGAGAGGAGAATGGAGGAGAAAGGATTGTGGCATGGCCATCCCCCCTGGGGGGTGATTTCTTGATTTCTGTCTCTCTGTCTCTGTGTCTTTCCAGCGAGCGCACGCGCCTGCCCTGTAGCAAAAACCTCTGGAAAAAAAAAAAAAAGAAAAATGCAATCGGATATTCAGAGAAAAATGAGCAAAAATCTTCGTTTGGCTTTCCTTATCTAAAATAGGTTTGCTTTAACGCTTGAGTAGGTCCTGGATTTTTCTATGCTATCACAGTGAATGCTTGCAAGTGCAAACTCCCATTTTATTGCTCATGATAACCTCTTAGTCACCGATATTGGACTGTTGTCCACCTCAGCTGGGGCAGAGGGGAAATGAGCTTTAGTAACTTAAAAGAAACCCCAGGTTTCCTGTATGCATGAGACAGCATTAAATTGATTCACCAGGGCTAGGCAGTCAGTTCAGCAAAACTTTCAGGAAACCACTTCAGGCTCAAATGTATCTGTGGTAGGTTGTTGAATAAATCTAAAGCATTTCCACCCCTACCATGGACATGCATCTGTGTGGCAATATATCTATACCTATAGATATATACACAATTAAAATGGAATCTGAGCAAACCCAGTAATTAATTGCACTTTTAAAATTGTGGCTGAAAGTGACTAGTGATAAATCTACTACTGTACAAAATGAAGCTTAGTCTTTTAATTGCTAGCAGTTTTAAATGTCCAGAAAAACAACAGGGCCAGCAGGCGGCATAGTGGTTAAGGCAGCTAGACTTCCTCATGGCTGACCACGGTTTGAGTCCCGGACCTGGCAGCTTGCTTTCTCACTTTCCTTCTCTCTCTCTCTCTCCATCTCTCTCTTTCTCTGGTCAACTTCAAAGAAAAAATTAAAAATAAAATAATGACAATGAATAAAACTTTTTTTTAAAATGATATGCCAATGAGCAATAACTTATCTAAAACTTTGATAGACTTGAATGTCTCTAAAAAATTTTAAATGGCTAAAACCTAATGGTGGGGGGCCAGCAGGTGGCATGGTGGTTGGGGGCACCAGACTCCTACATGGCCAACTGCAGTTCAAGTCCCTGACCTGGTGGCTTCCTTTCTCACTGTCCCTCTTGCTCTGTCACTCTTGCTCTCTCTCACTTTGTCCCTCTCTGGTCAAATTAAAATAAATAAAGTTAAAGTAATTCTTAAAAAAAAGAAAACCTAATAGATGACTGACCACAGTTGAGTCTTGAACCTGATGGCTTGCTTTCTCACTTTCCTTTTCTCTCTCTCTCTCTCTGGTCATATTTTTAAAATAGCAATAATAACAAATAAAATAAATAATTTTAAAAAAACTATTGATGGGGGAGATTAGCAGATGGCATAGTGATTACATTGCTGGACTTCTACACAGCCAAGAGGGGTTCCAGTCCCAGACCCAGTGGCTTGAAATCAATCGATC